TTTTGTTCACAGAGGGAACAAGTCCGCGACGCGGACGTGCTCCTCGCAAACTGCCCGACTTTCTCCTTCACGTCTCCAACTCTAAACTCTCTAACTTCAAGGGTTCCAGCCCCAATCACTTAGAAACATGAAATCCCTCAACATTCAATAGATTTCAACTCAAAACCCCAACCCAATCATGATACACAACCAACAATAATTCCAACAACAACAACAACTAACAACTAACAACTTTAACAACTCCAACAACTTAAACCACAACAACTAACAACTTCAACCACAACAACTAACAACTTTATCAACAAAGCCAATTCTTTCTTGATAAGAAAAAGGGGCTAGGTGTGTGGGGGAAAAGATCACCCAACACTAAAAGCTCACATACCTTGATAGGGATCACCCCCGACGAAAACCCACGATGATCTCCTTGCTTGATCTCCTCTTCTTCCCTTCTTCTTCTCTTCTTCTCTTCTTCTCCTCTCAAAACCCTCACTCTCACTCCTTTTAAAATGGTAAAACTGATCAAAATGATCAGCCTAACACATTTATAAACCAAAATAAAAGGCTAGGGAAAAAGACCAAAATACCCTTAATTTTTCCGGAAGGATTCCTTGCCCAACTTGCAAAGGCCATAACTCGCTCATACGAATTCGGAATTGAGCAAACTCGGTGGCGTTGGAAAGATCGTTCCACGAACTTTGCAAGCATAACTGGAACTCCACCTAATTCATCCTGAGCTAGAATTTATGGCTGTTCAAAGTTGGCCAAAAATTCACATTTTTTCATACTTAGTCAAAATTTCCAAAACTTTAAAATTCTTTCCAAAAAATGAAAATTTCCAATTCTAAGCCTCCTCAAAGCTATTTCAAATTGCCGGATGTTACAGTATATATGGTTATAATTATTTATTTTGTAAATCAGCCTTATTCAAAGAAAAAATATATATTATGATTACTATACAATTATAGCTTTGCCTAACAGTTACTTCAATTGCGCCCCTCCTCTTTCGAGGGCGTTTCCGTTCTCAATTTTTCATTTTCAATATTCCCACTCACAATGTTAAAAATAGTTTTCTGGTGGCCCAAGAGTACCAATTTTCCCATCACAATGAGGTACCTGCGCTGACATCAGATTCCTTTCAAGAAGTTTCTTCACATTCCAGACCGTGTGGTGTCTCATAAAAACAAATCCTCTCTTCTTATTTATACCCAAAGTTTGTATTGCTTTTATTATCTTACAATTTGATTGTATTTTAACATTAGGTGATTCTGATCATTTGCTTTTATAAAAAGAAAAAGTTGAACCAAAAGGAGGTATTGTTGGTTTCATGTGAAATACTAATGTGAACTACTAATTGCATTCAAGAATGTGTACATTCACAAAGAAGATAATTTTCTAACTTTGACTGCACGAACCAAAAGGAAAGCACGACACAATTCCTGATGCATCTAACTTTGACTGCACAAACCACATAAATCTGCGTACCCTTTGATGATATATTATTTCAGAGTCTGAATGTAAATTAAACATTTTAAAATCATCTTAAAATTACACTAGTAATACCTCACCAAGAAGGTAGATGAATTGTTTAGCCAAGTTTTTTTTTCTTGATGATATCTTGACCTTAGTTTTTTTTTTCTATTTATATTCCTGTTCATGGGCAACTAGATTATCTAAGGGAATAAATCCTTTGGATGTTCATAAGTATGTCATTTAAGACAGGAAATTTCATCCTTTCCAAAAGTATGTGACGTCAACAAAATTGGGTTTTGAGAATATTAAATTCGGGCAAGGGAGTTCCTCCAATGTGTCAATGTGTACGTATTAGGTGTACTCGGACAATATTGTTAAAGATTGTAGTTGGAGATTATAGATCTAGTCGTGCATTCCCCAGATATGTTTATTGTGGAAAGAACCGCGGGTTTGAAAACTATTTTCCTGAACTTTTATGGATGCTAATTTGCAAGGGAGTTGTCATACATGTCTCAATGCCGTTGATTCCGGTCACACTGGATAAGCCCCACTAAGGATAAAACATCTATGTTGAAAAAAGGATTTTAGTTATCTCTTGTTAAGGGTAAAAAGAGTGTATATGAAATAAGATAAGAGTATACAGGTCCGCCATGGGAAAAGAAGAGCTCGTCGAACAATCATTCTTTACTTCACGGGTCAATAAATTGGTAGTCCTCTAATTTCCTCTTGAATGTTTATAAGAAATAACTTATGCCAGTCATATTGCCCCAGATTGACAAATAAAAAGACTCTTGTAAATAGAAGTTTCTTGTGTAAACATTCAAGTTCATAATCGGCTTCTCGACAGTCAATAGACTTTAAAATGATCAAATCGATCCCTAATGTATGTGGATTGGACTATTTTAGTCCTTCATACATATCATGTATCAGAAAGTCCATAATGCATAGAAAAAATGATTATTTTGTTCCTCAAACAATTGCAAAAACAAAGGCAAGAACTTTGAAAACAATTGCTAATGTTTTTATTATTGAAATATTTCAACCAAAATGCACTTGTCTAGCAATACTGTCTAAAGAAGATTATGAATAGATAAATAAGAGAAATATTGTGTAACATAATTGAATAAGTTTTCAAAAAAAAAAAAACAAGTGCAGCAAATCAGAACAACTGATATGTGAACAGATCATGCAGATTAAAAGTGCCTTCATCTTCAACGGCGAGTGTGTAAACTGCTCCATATTCCATCACCAAAGTACGATGAGGGGGAAAAGGGAGGTAACTGAGCTGGAGTCTCCCCTGATACTTCATAACCGGACTTTTCGGTTTGAGCAGTTGGTGCTATCCCAACATCAGAAGTTGGTGCTATCCCAACATCAAAAATCGAACTGACATCATTGTCTTCCTACATGGGGTGACTGAGTAATGCTTCAAGTTCACTCCCAATTCTACTGATAGGATGACCGGAAGTTCCACTGCTAGCTTCAACATTCACAAAAGCATTTTGGCCTGAGAGCTCTCCTCCGACAACTGCTGTCATTTGCTCAGCATTGGTGCTTTCTCAAGGACACATGCTCTCATTGCTGATATTTGTCACTGCTTGTGATCCCTCGCAAGCAGGTCCAATCATGTCTACAACGTTTGGAGCTTAATAAGTTCCACCGAATTCATCATCCACAATAGTTATATCAAGAATTCTTGGTTTTGCTCTTGCTCTTCTGTTCCCTTTCTTGTTGGCTTCGATACGCTTGAAATACTTCTGGGCATGGGTAGCCACCTGCATTGCGGTTCTTTTTATCACACAGTGCCTAGATATACTTCTCCAGTCACCTTTTCCATATATATATATCCAATCCCTGGAGAAATGACCAATAGCAGGAAAGATAGAGAAATAACTTATTATCCAGGAAACAAGCTGGAAGGACAGCATTTACATAAAACTTTTACTCTCTCAAAGCCTTCTGAATGCACCCCAAAAACATTAAAACAGAAAAATGACCAGATTCCCAAAAAAGACAAGAAAATAAACCCTCAAAAACTATACACAGGAAACCAACCTATGTTCCTCTTCTGTTAAAAGAGTCCCTCTTCGCCATCCAACATCTACTTTCGTATTTTTGTTGGCATTCCTTTGCATTTCTGGATAGTTAGGTAATGGAGCTCCTCCAGAATCGATGGCATCGATATCTTCTAAGAGTATATTATAGTGATCCTTGATCTCATCAACTGATTTTCCAGGAAGGGCTTCTTCCATCTTCATGAGTAGATTGTTATCGTTAAAGTATATCACTAGGATATTCTCAAAGATTTTATCCTCCTCCCTAGTCCATAAGGAGCTATTGCATGTCCGAACGGTGCTCATTTTCTTTTAGATCTACAAGGAAATATCAAGAATGAAAAAGGAAAGTATTTGAAGAGGATTCAGAAAATGGATGAGTGTCAATATATGACAAAAGCAACCATAAACATTGGACATCTAAAATAAGATTTTTTGTAACCCCTGACATTTAGTAAACAAAAACAATCGCAACAAGACATGTATTCTTTTAAATCTTCTATGGATACTAAGAGAAGTAATAAGTGACTGGTAAAACGAACAAACATGAAGATACAAGTGGTATACTACCCACATAGGTTCCCAGGGATACAAAGCATATTATGAAAGCATCTATGTGCTTTACCTTTTCTAATGGACGGAATGTTTTATAATAAGAAGGAAGACTACAAAGAAAAAAACTATTTTTCTGGAGATAAGAAAAAATTATATCACTGGAATATATATTTCTTTTTTTGTTAGTGACACAAAAATAAGAGATCTATGGCCCTGTACCGCATAACAGGAAACAAAATCATGTCAATCAAACATATGTTATCAAAAGAAATAGATCCTCATTTGATAAGAGTTTCACAATAAGAGCATTATTCTAGAGTAATACCTAAGCAACTTTCTCTCATGAAAAAAGTAGAAATTTAACAAGACGAATGTAAGCAATATCAATTAGGAAAGTGTCATTTCGCATTCCTTCATAATCTACAATAGAATCCAAGAGTAAGTCAATCATTATGATACTGCCAATACAGCCTCTCCGGTATCTTCTTGTTACATTTATACCACTTGAAATAGCAAATCGAAAAGGAAAAACCCATATTCCCTTGTCACACAATCTAACTATTTAAAACTAGTGAATGTGCAATGACAAATTATATTCAAGACAACAAATCAAAAGTAAAGCTATACAAATTCTTATTTTTCCTTTTTGAGAAACACTCAAATCTCTACACATTTTAAAGAAGATTCCCCGGAAAAATGTTGACAATACAATTTTTCTCTCCTAAGTAAAATAGAAACAAGATGAATCTCATTATATTCATCTCTTCAGAATCTACCTCAAAGCCAATATCTAAATTAATCATTTCTGATTGTCTGCAAATTATTGTTCATTTAAATGGAAGATTTATAGAATCAACAACATATCCAATTAATCTCATAAGTAAGGTCTGGGTATGGTATGATATAGTGTACGTAGACCTTACCCCTACCTTGGGAGGTAGAGAGGTTGTTTTTCAATAGATCCTCAGCTCAAAGAAAAGCCTATCAAAGCAGATAGAAAAGAGAAGATTTGTGTAATCCCACAAGTGAGGTTTAGGGAGGGTAGAGTCTACATAGACTTCACCCTTACTTTGGAAGGTAGAGAGATTGTTTTTCAATAGACCCTCGGGTCAAAGAAAAGCCTATCAAAGCAAAAAAGAAGAAGAGAAGATTTGTGTAATTTCACAAGTGAGGATTGGGGAGGGTAGAGTCTACGTAAACCTCATGACCCTTACCTTTGGAGGTATAGGGACTATTCCCGATAGACCCTGGCTCAAGGAAGAACATATCCAATCAGATTGAAAAAGGAAATATTTACAGAATCAAAAAGAAAACAAAAAACATACCATGTGTAATCCCACAAGTGCGGTGTGGGAGGATAGGTAAATAACTATTTATGATAGACCCTTAGATCAAGGAAAGTCGTATCAACAAAGATCCAAAAAGGAATGATTTATATAACCATGACAACAAACCAAAAAAGGAAAGCCATAAAAGATCTTACTTTTTCTCTATAAATTATTTTTGATAGATCCTTGGCCAAAGGATAAGCATGTCAAAGCAGATTAAGAAAAGGGAAGATTTACAGAACCGTGATAACAAATCAAAAAATAAATCCAAAAAATATCTTTCTTTTTTCATAAAATTCATATATCTATAAATTATTTTTCATAAACACCTAGAATGTTAAAGAAGATTACCGTAAAATGTCGGGACAACTGGGGGAAGAACTTGATGGTCACAAAGCTAAGCACAGTCAAAGAAAGCTTTTGGACGAATCAATCTACAGTGACAAGTATTCAAGTATTCAAACACACACATACACATATATATAATCAAGAAAAAAAACTAGAGAATTTTGGGCAAAGAGATTAATTTCACACATGTGATTTGTCCTTACAGCAATTCCAAAGCTTATTGTTCTTGTTACTTCACCAAAATATTTCTTTTAGGAAATTTCATCAATATTTAAGGAGATAAGCATATCAATATTAGTGTAATCTAATTTTTTTAACAGTTAATGTAATACAAACAAAAAGTTTAAAATGTGCTGAGGTGTGCTACCTAACCTTCCAAAATACAAAAAAATTGTTTTGAGGCTTTAAGGGACATATTGTGGTAAGGGATAAAAGGAAAAGGAAAAGCTTCCAAAGCTTGCCTTCTTTATTTGTTTCCGCATGTGTAGAGGCCAATTGTTTTCATATTTGATGGCCAAGTCAGGTAAGATACTCCCTCATAAAGACGACTTAGTATCCACCAGAGATAAGTTTGCTCTACCATTTTTTTATGAATACAATGTTTAGATAGACAATATACCATACATCATCAATTTGAAGGACAAACCTACAAACAAAAGAATTAGGATACGGGGGAACCTAGAGATATTTTGAAAAGGTAGGATAAAAAAACTATTAGCTAATTTATTTTTTTGGTCAAACCAACACATTTTATTCAAAACATCTAGAGTATCATTACTACATCTCATACAACTAGTCTTGTAACACCTCGCTATTTGAAAGAATTAGAAAGTGTAACACCCCGTATCCGAAAATAGGAAATTCAGATTTCTGATGTTACAGATGGCACTCACAGACACCATCCACGGACCGTAGATAGACTAACGGTCCGTCCTGCAGGTCCGTGGTTCGTGAAAGAAAACTTCCCCAGAACTCAGTCAGAAAATTTAGCTAAGTGTTGACCCACGGCCGGACTTACGGTCCGTAGATCAGGTAACGGACCGTAGTTCGTGTCCGTGGATCGATACCCCAAAAGCTCAGCTTCAGTTCCAATTGACGGTCGACCAGCACGGACCGTCATTCGATCCACGGTCCGTAGGTCTGACCGTAAATGAGGGTCAACAGTCAGTTAGATGAAATTTATTGATGGGTCAACTTCAGATGGTCATAACTTTTAGAAGAAAAGGAATTGTGTGTCCT